AGGTATTTTGGCACAAAATCGGACTTTTTCTGAAATAAAATACCAATTATTTTCCATATTTTGATTCTACAACGCAAATTATGCCTAGATAATAAATTTCGTAAAATTTGGTGCGAAATTTACGAAGAAATTCAAAAATTTATCTTGGCGTAATTTTTTTCAATTTGCGCCATGAATAATTTACTTGGTGGTGTAATATATGGCAACCAATTTTTCTTTCTCTTCCATTATGCCGGAGCGGGAAAAAAATCACATCGTTTATACTTTCAGATAATTTTAGCAAAGTGTCTAAACTAGATTTGATGTTTTATTGCTTTCAACAAATATGTCAAATTTCAAAACGCTCCAATATATGTATAAATTCCTCTATATCTTACAAAATTTTGAATAAAAAACTGTAATTTTTTGCAGGTATCCTTAGAAATACGTCTGTTTTAAGATGATAATAAAAATTTTGTAGATTATAATTAAAAAGGTTTTGAAAAATTTATTAAAACTTATTTTAAAATCAATCATAAAAATGGGTGAATTTTATTTGGAATGAACCTGAATTTCGAAATGTGAAAGGAATTAATCAAATAAGTTTAATAGGAAAAAGAAAGATTAATAAATATATACCAAATTAAATTAACGTTGAGAAGCTAAAATTTTGAAAGCTAATTTTTTAAAAACTATTCGTGCGATTTTTACAAAACTTGGCAGTTTGAGTCGTAGAATTGAAATATGGAAAAACTGGTATGTTATTTCAGAAGTTCAATTTTGTGTCAAAATACCATATTGGAACAATGCTATATATAAATCTAATACATATTCTAAGTCGCGCTTTCGAGGCATGAAAACTGCAAGCTGAATTTCGTCAACCGGCCCAGTAGAACGGGAGATATAGAACTCTCCCATTTTTGTTTTTTTGCGCAGTGTACATAGAAAAAGCGATTATGTCCAATTCGTTTAAATTTCTGTTTGACGATTTTGATTTAAAATCAATCATTGTTAGTAGCCCGACGATCTGAGTTTTCGTCGTTACCTTTTATGCATTTACATAAACTCGTGTAAATTTATGAAAATTTCTTTAATATTTTATTTTGTTTACTTTTTTGCCGTCGGGTCTCTGAGGCTTTTAAATTTTCTCCTTCTAAGCTGAAACGAGACCGTAAGGCATGTTCGTCATCGATTAGGGAGTTAAAACCTTTAAAGGTTTGATTTTAATGGAATATAACGAACTTTGCTTCATATGAATGCTATGGGAAGAACTTCCGATCAATCGATAACGTCTAGAGTTCTATCGATTTTAAGCTACTTCATTTCTCCATCTGAATGTTTTAATTTTTTTAGCTGGCTTATTTATACATTTTGACTTTAAACTTGTAAATCTTAAACTATGTTTATCAAATCATAGTCTTCAAGATGGATGTCTCAGTTATCTTACTGGTTTAAAGTTTCAGCAAAGAAACGTCAGCTTTTAAGGTAAAAAATAATTACGATTTTATTTTACTACAAAAACCCTTAAAGAAACAATTCTGTTGAGTGAAAGAATGCGTTTAAGTATTCGAACATAGTATATAAAAAATTACGTGTAGTAATTATGTTAGAAATTATTGCATGAAACATGTGGTAAAATGTATTTGTATTTGGCATTTCATGTGCTGTGAAAACAGTTTCGAGTTAAATATTCGCTTAAATTATATAGACAATGTGCTTCTTTTAACTCTTGTCTGTGCCCTCGCAAAATTATCGTCATATGAGAGAAATTTGACTTCAAAAACTTAAGCTCTTTTACTCAAGGACTCTTTGCTTAAAACGCAACATTCTATCAAATAATCAGAAAAATGCTGTAATTTCTTCTGGCTACAACGTGAACTACGCTATCCTACAGATTGTCATATTATAGCTTTCTTCTGCAGAAAGCTCATTAACTCCTTCTAGTAGGTATATTGTATTATGGGAGTTTAAGTCAAACAACATAAATTTATTGCAAATGTTTTAAAAAGGCGGATTATCTTTCGATGAATATTTAATAGTACAATTTAATTTCTTGTCAAACTAAGGAATCTCAAATTCGTTTGATTAAAATCTCTTACATAACATCCTGATTTAGTTTGAAGCTTCGTATTTAATTAAAATTATGTTACATATAATAAGTAAGTACGAATATTGCTTTTTGCTTTATAGGATTCTAGCCTAGAACTTACAGCTATGTGTGTGGAACCTTGAGAACTATTAAGAGAATAATCGCTTTAGCTCAGGAAGAAGCGTAAACTCAACAACGGTTAATTACTCTTTATTGCTCAAAATAAGGATTAACAGATGGCCCTTTTCTCAGGACGTACAGAAAACCTCCACTTGGGCTTGAACTCAAGAGTACTAAGAAATAAAACTTAACTAATGCTTATCTAAAAAGATATAGCTGAAGCTAATCAAATTCTACAGGGGTTGTCCCCTAAATGCAAAGTCAATGGCGAAGCTATCAAGGGCCTGAAACACGCCCAAGCGTAATTAGCGAGAGTGTAGCCAAAAGGCGAACGCGAGCTAGTCAGAATCTCTGGCTCGCTAACGAAGTCAGTGGAACTTCGACTTAAGTACTGCTGTTTCTTCATTTGCATTAACCGCTATTCTAAAAACACAATCTGGCAGGAAATATGTAAGCTGAAATTAGAAGAAACGGGAAAGTAGCTTTAACTAAAGCTAACTCTTAAAAACTTAGGATAAACCTTACAACATTGCCATATTTATTTCTTTGTACATATATATCTATATTAGTGTAATTCTTGTAAGAGCTCGGAAAAACCTTTTACTGTGTGGTAGATGAAACATGAAAATATGAATGATAAAACGTAAATGGTTCAAAATGACCAGCAACTAAAGCAAAAATTTGTAAAAATTGACATATATTCAAATTTTGTGAATATCTACCTACAAAAAAACCTCATGTAAATGATTAGACTTTTTTGTTTACAATAATAAAAATTGGCATAAATTACGATGGATCTTAAAGCAGACATAAGCATTAGTTGATTGAGATAGAATAAGATCTATTCTTCTTTAATAACTATTAATTTATCATTTGATAATAAAATTATTATTTATTGTTCCATTCTTTTGAATACTGACTCGTTTATTATTTCATTATTTTAATAATGATTAAAGAAGAATAGGTATATTTCATGAAATTTTGTTCAATCAGAATAGTTTCGTGTAAAATTATCTAGTAATAAGAAAAATTGTGATGATTGTTTAAAATTATTTATCCCATTCTGAATTAAACAGTCACAAGTTTTAATTAATTTCAAAATTTTAAGCACAGTTTGTAAAACGTTAACAGCCTGTTTTGAAATATTATTTCCTCAGAGATAAAACTGCTGACATTTGGACTCTAGTAGTTCCTATCTCATGATGCCTTTATTGAAATTCTATTCTCACAATATTTGCATGGGTACATTTCAAAGCACTGCTATATTGAACCATCTTATATTACCTCCCCTGAGTGACATCAACCTAATTAATCTGTCAAGTAAGAAAGGTGAAAATGTAAATAACCTGCTCATTATTAAAGTTTAATCTTTGGGTGTTTCTTAAATGGATGTTCAAAGAGATAAAAACACAAAAATGATGATGCCTGTTAGAAGTATCCTAGTAGGAATATCCTATAACAAAACTACGCTTACTAAATGAGAATGCAAAAAGTACAGTATCCTAAATAAAATGAACGTAGTGATTTTTAAAAACCTTGACTAAAATTCTATATTGCACAATTTCTTACATGCGTTTATCACGCCTGTTTACATGCATGAAACATGATGCATACATTCATACACATTTAGAGGCAGGCATCAGGATAACAATTATAAATATTTATATTACATATAACAATAAGAAGCTTACCTAAAAACTGTGTAATATTTCATATGTTAATCTAATCAGTTTTTATGATTTAGTTCTTTGCTATCACTACTTTTTTCTGTTTCCCCACCAGAATGTGAATCAGGGTAAGAGTATTTAAATTGAGGGCTTTCGGACTGTAAATCAGAACGCGTTTCTGCCTCTCGAAACCACTTTTCTAAGTTTATGCTAGCTCAAATATAATTGTATTCTTCGGCTTGCATTACATTTTCCGACATTTAAATTATTACGCCAATAAACAATTTGAGCTAACTTCACGTTAAACCAATTGTGTAGCCTTTGGCCACTAGACTTAGTTGTAAATCATGAAATTCATTGTTACATCCCTGAAGTATTTGACTGATTTTGTCAAGCATGAGACGGGAATTTATGTTTCAGTTCTCATTTAAAAAAGATATTTGCTAAACCTTCTTATGACTTAACAGTTTTTTTTTTCAGATACAGTGATAATTAGATCTATATCTGCATGAAGTTTTCTTCAACTTGAAATATAGTGTAGCATTCTCTGTCATAAACATTCGTATAAAACAATTTCAGTAAAAGATATTAAGCAAAAGTTAATAAAAATTACTTTGTGTTCTGTACAATGAAGATCTAAACAAACTGGTATTTAGCTGGTTCAAAAACAGCATGGAAACTCTGAAATGCAGAAAATAGACTGTAAAAATTTCTGTGAATATTCTGAATACAATGAGTATCACACTCCTTGCCAAAGAAATTTATAACGTTACTTATCGTCTCAACTGCGCTCACGAATTCACTAAAACAAGAACCTAGAGACTCAGACGTTCATGGCCACTCTTCAATGAGTCGATCTTTAAACAAAATTTAGCGTCTTATGTCCCAGCGTATTATTCTGTGAGAAAATATCAAGCTCTTCAAGATGAACGAAGCACATAAATGGATGTAATTCATCAGAATGTATGGACACCTAACTTTCGTTTGTAAGCAAAGTTTTTAGACGTGCTAGGAGTTCCCCTGAATGCCAGCTAAAGACATTCCATACTTTTGCTGATAGGTGACATTCATGGATTCACAATACAAAACAGACGTCATGACATTTCAACGGCAGGCTACTCTTTCATAAATGCCCAGTGTTGGAAATGCCGAACCCAAGTGAGCTCTGTGATGCGGATTATTTGGAGTATTCTGGTTGGGTGATGGTTCTTAAAGTCCATGAAGGAGAAGTTGCGCAGAATATTACTTCATCACAATGCAAACATTCGATTCCGATACTGTCGAACATTCAATTCCGATACTGCATTCACATCTCGTGAAATGATGCTAGCATTTTACAGTAGTCCTATTCTTCCAGAGTCTTTTATGGCAATGTAGCGTTGTTATAAGTTCCACGTTTTGCTGGAATTCTTTCAGTTATTCTTCTCTTATCAAATGGCCATATATAAACACCTACTCCTGTACTAAATTTTCTCTTTTTCTTATGAAGCGTATGACCCATCTGATGAATTCCAAACATAAACCAGTATTAAATACGTGTTAAATCGTATAAATGTTTCATTATGAGGGTAAAACCAGGTCTAGAATCTTCCACTGATGTCCATCATCACATCAGTTACATACTGATGAACACAATCAGAAAAACTTTAAGATAAGGACTTAAGTTACAGAAGTTTAATTACAGTTATTGAAGATCAAGGCCTTTTTTATTTCCCAAAATTAATAGTGATATTACAGAAAGCTAAGCTAGCTTCTTCAACTTGAAAAATCAAACTCTTAATTCAGCATTAATTTCTAACGTTGAGGAAATACCTTCCTTTATTTCGGCATCGTGTCAAAGAGGTGGCACAGAAATGCATTTCCCAGAGGTCTTAAAACAATTGACTACTTTTTTACAATGCCATCATAAAGTGTCTTATAAGACACATTTTATGTGACCCAATGGTAAAATGATTTGTTTTTTGCGTGTATGTTCCTTATATAATGTGTTTTTGCTGTTAGTTTCGAGTTTTCTAAGGGAAATGTACGTTCACTCCTAGCGTTTAATTTGACCCGTTCATTTATGACACATAATGTCTTATAATCAGAAAAAATATTTAAAGTGGTAAGAAATAATCCATTAAAAGGCACTTGTGTTACCTGTACATGAGAAATGATTTAAAATTTTCCTAAAAATACTACAGGTCCTAAGAGTCCTATAGAATCGCGAGATAGATACAGTGGTATAATTTCCCATTAAGTGAAAGAACGCCTTAGATCTCCATATAAAAGAATCTATGAAAAAATAAAAAGACTTTTAAAATACATACTGTATTACATACAATTAGTAATAAAATGTATGTTACTTTCTATACAATTAATTTTGCTAATTATTTAATCAATATTTTTTAAATAATTTTAATTTATTCTCTGAATTATTCTAAGCAAACATTAATATATGTAATATGTGATCAAAAATCAGTTTGCAAAAAAGTGACATCTGATGAATAATTCTTAAACCGTATACAAATTCCGCGTCCCAAAATCACATAATAAGAGCTAAAAGTCTTTAAAACATTTTTTCCGATGCTGATTTAAATAATTTCAAGCTATTTAATAGTATTAATATTCATTAAATAGTAATCAAAATTGATAATTTACTTGTATCCTTTAACAAATTAACTAACTTTTCGAGATTTGTAAAATATTCTTTCAGTTTTAAATATGGGTATGGGATTTTTATGGCACAAATTTCTAAATGTAAATTGATATTCTTCCGTTCTTAGTCCTTGAGAATCATCTTCAATATTAAAATTTATTTTCAAATACACTGCAGAGAATTTCTGTAAGATATTTACCATTCCAAAAGAAAACGAGTATTTTGCGACATATCCGTTTTATTATTTTATAATAACTTTATAGGCATGAATGCCTTAGTATAATAATCATGTAAGGTCTACCAGTAATATTGTAGAATGGCTCAGTGAATCGTTTCTCATATTATCACACTGTCATGTCTTTCCTATTTATTTCCCTATTAAATTGATACGCTATCCTTTCCATTCCCCATTTTCTTGGATTTTACCATGCTTGATAGTTTTCTGACAGGAAAAGAACTCTTTTTCCGAACATTCACAAGAATATAAATTTCTTCGAAACTGTTCTATACTGTCGTACATTACTCCCAGTACTTTTAGCTCTTTAAATTCTCTTTTGAGCTTGACAGACTTGAAGACAGATTAAGGGACTGGGTCAGAAAGAATCCCTTTTTATTCCAGAAAAACGTTAAGTCTGAAATTTGGCAGCAATTCATGAGCCTTTTAGATAAATAACTTATTATATAAAAGGCATAATGAAGGCTTAAAAATATTTCATAGACATATTAATTCTCATTAAATTAAAATATCCTTAAGTGCGTTGTTTATGTGTAAATTAAATGTGATAAAGCAGAATTATATAAAAAATTTTCTACGTTAATTCTATTCCTCCAATGCGGAAAAAAGAACTAAAATATTTTGCATCGACATATCCGTTTTATTATTTTATAATAACTTAAATATGCCCTTAGTATAATAATATGTAAGGTCTACAGTAATATTGTAGAATTATGAATCGTTTCTCATATTATAACTGTCAGTCTTCCTATTTATTCCCTATTAAATGTAGCTATCCTTTCCATTCCCCATTTTTATTTTACATTTGATAGTTTTTCAGGAAAAGAACTCTTTTTCGCATCGAATATAAATTTCTTCGAAATGTCTACGTCAATTTAGTACTTTTGTTATTCTCTTTTGAGCTTGACAGACTTGAAAGATTAAGGGACTGGGTCAGAAAGAATCCCTTTTTATCCAGAGAAAAACGTTAAGTCTGAAATGGCAGCAATCAAGCCTTTTATAAATAACTTATTATATAAAACATAATGAAGGCTTAAAAATATTTCATAGACATATTAATTCTTTAAATTAAAAATCCTTAAGTGCGTTGTTTATGTGTAAATTAAATGTGATAAAGCAGAATTATTAAAAAATTTTCTACGTTAATTCTATTCCTCCAATGCGGAAAAAAGAACTAAAATATTTTGCATCCCCAAAAATAAGTAAACTTATGGTAAAGAAATGTAGTATTAACTTAACGCATCGTAAACGTCAATTTAGTGTTACGTCAGTTAGATATTACATATAAGTAATGTTCATAGTTTCTAAAACTTTCAGTTTTAAAAACCATAGAGTGACCTCTAATAACAATTTGCATGACATAATGCACTATTTTTTCTTAGTATGAGAAGCGGTAGTTTAGCGGAAAGCAAGTGTAGGGAATGGGAAAGAAATCTTTCTAAGGCTTACGAAATTTTCCCATATTTTTATAAGTTTTCGAATTTAAGACACATCGAATAGTCGTTTAGATGTATTATAGCATAAATACGAATAGTTCAGCGATATATCTCGCATTAATTAAAATAAATATTTAATTAAGAGGCTTAATTATGAAATAGGTAAATATCTCCAAATAAAATACTCAGTTAAATGGAAATTAAGTTGCTCTAAAACTTAGCAAATCAAAACATTCGGACTCATTTTTACTTCTTTGCACGAAATAAAGAGGAAGAATTGTAATCGTTAAAATTTTCAGGCATCATATTTCAACAAAAATATCCATTTTGACCGCTATCGAATGCAATTTAACGATGTTTTTGTGTGACATCTGTACGTAAGGACAGAATAAAAGACTCTTTTCTACCCCAAAATTTATAAAACTGATTTAAAATTAATTCTGAAGAGAATTTTTCATGGCGTCTGTACGTACGTATGTATCTCGCATAATTCAAAACCGAGTAGCCTCAGAACATTGAAATTTTGATTATAGGACTGCTATAACATATAGATGTGCACCTCGTAATTTGGTTGGAATAGGCCTGCACCAAACACATATAAATATATGTGTGTATATATATATGTATATATATATATATATACCCACTCTGTTAACCAGCTCAGTTTTCTCAGTTTCTTTATTCTTATATGTTTGTAAGTTGTACATTTTTTGCTTTAAAAATGATTGAATTATGTTGTTCTTATCTTCCGGTTAAGGTTTTTATGCCTTTAGTAAATCCGCATCCAATATTTGTGGAGTTATCAACAATTTAAAAGTTGTTCAAGTGCAGCTAAGGCTAATGAATTTTGCGATGGCGGACATGTTTGTTTGCATTTCAAACTTGGCAAAATAACGGATTTGTTGCCAATCTAGAGAAGCTAAGCTTCGCAACAACAAAGATAACGCCTTCTTTTATTATTGCGAATTAAATCATGTTTAATCCATTTTGGAATGTATTAGAGAAAATAAGTGTTTATGATTTACTTTGTAATTTTTAAAATAGATATTTTTAGTTTTTATGTATTTTTGCCTTTTTGAGAAGTGAGAACTGAATAATTGAATGAGAAATACTCAATCGTCTGTGAAAAACTGTTTCTTTTTTGTTTTGTTTGTTTAATTTTTTTCATACATCGTTTTAGATTTATTATAGTATTTGAATAGTACATGTTGCAACGATTAGATAATTCTTTAAATGATATAAATTTATATGCATTCTGAGTTAAAATATGAACGAAATGTAACGCTGTTAAGTGAAGCCAGAGTGTCGCTATGGTAAACAAATATAGTGAATTTTAAAGAGTGCATTTATTCTATTGTGGTTTATGCGCTATCGACGAAGTAGATTTAATTCAATCCAATAAATTTAATTAAAATGCAAGAAAAAATGCGTATAATTTAATATTCCGTGCAAGGAGGTCATGTAGTGTACACATCAGATTTTTTTAAATAGTGATCATTCTTTTTTGACACATAAAACAATCAACGAAACAAAGTATTTGAAAACTGATGAGATTTTATTAATTTCTGTTATCCTCATATGCTTCATTTTCCTATAATCTGATTAACTAGAACTTTCAGTTTTACTATATAACGTTGCGCGCCTCTAACTTGCACGCAACCAAGAGGTGACTGTGAAAGCTTGTATAAACCACAGAGTCTTATAAAGGGTTTAAGTCCCTTTTTATTCAACGTAATAAATTACAATGGCGTCCTCTTGACGCTTACAGACTGTGCCCACTAGGCAGTCAAAATAAAAATAATAACCTGAAAAAGAAAGTAAAGACAAGATTCTAACTACGAGGCTCTCTAAAATAACTAACTCACCGCGTTTTACAATACGGCTGCTAAT